GATCGGAGAGCTGGGTTCACTGCCTTGCTCTGTCACCTCTCAGCTCGGAGACTGTGGTCAGGGCGCTCTTCCCGTGGAAGGCCTCTTCATCCCTAAGAGGAAGGGATTCCACTTGGTAGTTCAAACTATTATGTTTTGAGTTAAATGTTTTCCTTTTGCTTGTGAGGGTCATTTTAATGAGGCACACTGACAGCTGCAGACTCATCGTCCGTAGTCACGTCACTTCAGTGGCACGTTTGAACGTACATGGCTTTGCTTTCCACTTCCGGAAATGCCTGTGATTTTTTTCATGTCTTTATCTCCCCCCCAGTTCTTGAAGCGTTTTCTTTGTTTGGCACTGAGGCCACTCTGTCCGCCTGGCTTTCCTCCTCCGGCTCTGCCCCCCGTAAGGGACCCTGCAGGGTTGTCTCGGGGTGTCTCTTCTGCTTTGACTGCCTGCTTCTCCCTCGGCACCCTCACCCATGCCCATGCGATGGCCCCTTTTTAAATTTCCAGACCAGGCATTCTTTTGTGTCCTGTGTCTGTCCACCGGATAGCCAGCCACACGGACGCCTCCATGCGAATGCTTCAAGAAACCCCATACTTGTCATTTTCAAAACGGAACTCGTCATTTTCTTGTGAATTTCTTCGCTGGATCGTAGTTGGGAATGGTGCCACCGCCACCGTCCTTCCATGGGACAGACACTTCCTTTTTCCTCACCTCTCACGTTCAGTCCATCACCGAGTCCTGTCATTTGCCATCCTAAACGTTTCTCAGACTGCATTTCTCCGTGGCTCCGGCCGCACAGAGCGAGGCTTCCGTCACCTCTCCCGGGACTGCTTCCCCACGGACTGTGCCCACTCTTCATTCTCTCCACTATAGTTCCACTGGTCTTTTTAGGGTACTGGTCCAGTTTCTGTTACTCCTGCTCGAAAGCCCTCGCTGAGTTTCTGGGGTTCTTGACTAAGACCAGTACCCTGAATGTGGTTGCAGGACTTGTGTGCCCTCCTCCCTGCCTCCTCCCTGGCCTCGTCTTTTGCCGTTTTTCCCCTGCCCTCTGTGCTTCGGTTCCACTGGCCAAAGCACATTCTACCCCAGGATCTTTGCATATGATATTTTCTCTTAGTGCTCTCGGGACCCCTCTCATTCCTCTTCATTAACTAGCATCTCAAATGGCCTTTTCTCTGCAGGTTAATTTGGTCTGTCGTTCCCTGCACCCGTAGCCCTACCTGCGAACTTTTCCTTCCTAAGGTTTGCCGGAGTTTGTAATTCTTCACATATTGGTGTGACTATTCCATTAACATATCTTTCCCCTCCAGACCCTAAACTCCACGAAGGCCGAGACCGTGTGTAGCTCTGATTCCTGGGTGTTCCTGGGTGTCCCTGGTGTCCATGTTTTGGACCCGGAGCAGGGGCTTGGCAGATATTTGTTGAAGGAATGAGGATTACTTTTGGAATGTAGTCTAAAGAAACCCTAAGGGCAATAGTCAAGCTGATTATTATAACTATAAAAGAACCCCCCAGGCAAGCTCCATTTATTTATTCCACTCCGTTGCAAGGATTTTATCAAGATGAAAGCGTTCTTTCACATTTTCTTTTAGCATACTTGAGTTTTGCAGGATCGTCCCATTATTTTCAAGGGGTATAAACAAGTTAGAGCATAAAGGACCTTTTTTAGTTCCCTAACTAGGGAACGGAATGTTCTAGGATTTAGGCACAGGGCTATTTCAAAGACCTACTTATTGTAGAATATTCCAGTCCTCACCAGTTTGGATGGAGGGGAATGCCAGCATCAAATAAGAAACAGTTATAAAATTAAATATTTCTTAAAAAAAGAAACACCATGAAATACATCTATTTCAATTCGATATATATTTTTGAACTAGTCTGATAAAGGATTGTTAATAGCGGTGGCTAAGTTACCTGTTTCAATAAATAGATTCAAAATTACCAGGCATGTTCCCACGTCACTTATTTGTGTGCTTGTGACAAACTAAAAAATGTTTGAGAACAGCTCGTACTCCTCATTTGTTAAGACGGTTGCTCTGTTACGGTGTTTATATTGCTCACTTTCTTTATTAAACATTAGAGACGTTAACCTGCCTCCTGAGCAAATGGCCACAGATAATGAGATTAACTGTGTATCCTTCATCCATTGACACTTGTGTCTGGCCCCGGGTGGCGTCCCGTGTTCCATGGGGCTGGCGGCTGTCTTCCTCCTCCCCGGCCTGCTGTGGGCCTGGCTCTGTGTTTCTGGGTAGCATCTCTGCAACCCCCACGGCAGGGCTAGGAGAGGGAGGTCATCAGCCCCGTTTCACAGGCGGGGAAACAAGGCTCCGAAAGGTCCCACGACTTGTCCCAGGACCCTACGTGAGGATGGCGGGGCTGAGTCCAGGCCTCTTAGCATGCCACGGTTCTTCCAGTACCTCCGAGCAGCCTTCGCTGTTAAGACACTGCAGCGCTGAGAACGAGAATGTGTCCACGTTTTCCCAAGCAAAATATGGTGTGAAAATATTTCCAGGCATTTCTATCAGCAGTTATAAGAAAATATTTTGAAAGCCCTTGAGTATCCAAGCAGCCCTTGCTGAAGCATCTGCATAAAGCTACACTGATTATGAAGTTTGGTTTGGTGCCACAAACACTTAAGGAAAACAGACTTATTTCTGTCAAAAATATTTCTCAGCTTAATTGTATACTTCTAAGCAAAGGAGTAACGAGGCCCTGCCTTCCCTGGGTGGTGTGCTGGTCGGGGAGGCATTTGGGGCCCCGCCCTGGGCTTTGGGGGAGCCCATCGCAGAACCCTAGCTGTCGCGCAGGTACCCCTCTTCGGTGCACCCCTGACCCTTTCTCTTCTTCTCCAGGAAAGTAAGCCAGAGCAGTGCTTGCCTGGGCAGAGCCACAGTACCGGGGAGCAACCATCACAGCTCAGCATGGCCACCAGGTACAGTACCCGCCAGCCTGGGGTGTGGCCGTTCCTTCCTATGCCCGAGGTCATGGCACAGGCCGGGCAGATGGGGTTCACCAAACAGCATGGGCCTTGGACCCAGGCGGGTTGCAGACCTGGGTTCCAACCCCGGCTCTGTCATTTACTCGATGACCTGGAGCAGCTGAATTTGGCTTCCCATTAATGAAATGGGGGCAGTCCCTCCCGAGGACCTCTCCTCTCCCGTAAATGCGAGGCTTAAATGCTAACGTAACTAGAGGCCTCCTCACGGTCTCGCACGTGGCAGCCCTCCCCATACAGAGGACAGAGGTCATAGTGACGGCGATGGTGGTGGTTAGCAATAGCGTTAATAGCAACCTGGACGTAAGTTCCCCTTGTGAAGACACCTGCCTTTCTCTGTAGTTTACATACTTACTGGGACTTCTGTTACTTTCCAAGAATGGGTATGGACTCATGTGAACTCGGCATAGGACACAGTAGATTTTGATGCTACCAGTCAACGTTTGTAGCGTTCCGCCTCAGGTTTATCCATTTGGGATCTGGGGTAACTACGCTGAGGGCAATGCCACCATCACCCACGAATCATGGTGTCGATGCCACGTGTTGACGACGAGCAGAGATCGCACCTTTCACCTGTTACCTGGCCTTTGCAGTGTCCGTGGGCCGAGGAAACCCAGGACTGCAGATTATGCTGACAAAATGATTGAAGGCACAACGTGAATTGTATCATCTTTGTACCTGGGAGGCCGAGCTAGTACCTAAATGTCCTTGAGCTGTTACCAAACGGTGGAGATTCTGTCAACATATTGTTGATTCACAGGCAACGTGGCTTAGCTTTCAAGTCCTCAGCCTCCTGGCCAAGTTCCTCTATCGTAAACTATTTTATTTCTAAAATTCGCTGTTAGAAGTAGAAATGCAGGTGGGTAGCGAGTAGGAAACAGTCTGATCTCTCTGTGAAGGGTGTGCAGGTCTCGATCAAACGATCTTTGAAGATGACTCTGAGTGGCCTGCCCGCTCCCGGCGGGCACGTTCCTGGGGGCTACCCTTTCTGTTCTCTGTGCTGGCGCCCCGGTCCCCCGGCCCCCACCCATCCACACGCGGATGGGGAGCAGGGCTGACAGCCTTTCCCCTTCCTCCTCTGGGGCAGGGCCCTCAAACATGATTATCTGGATGCTTTCCTAGCAAGAATTTTGAGTTTGGCTTTGAGTGGGCTTGGGAAGGAGATGGGAGACGTGTTCAAGATGGAGCACAGGCGAAGGACATGCAGCCCTTGGAGGGGACACACAAAGCATGCGGAAGGAGGCAGCGATTTCGGGAGGTAGCCATTTACTCCCGTTAGAGGCAGGCAGCAGGCTGCGAACAGCGCGCTTTGGAGTCAGGCAGACTTTGGAGTCAGGCAGATCTGGCTTGGAGACCTGGCTTGGAGCAAACTCCTTCCCGTGTCCAGGCAGAGGAACAAGTGTGCTGTGCAGAGTGGCCGGGGGAGGCTGCACAGGAGATAATCAATGCCACAAGGGGGTGGGGGCGGGGAGGGGACGCAAGCAAAGATGCTGACCTGTCCGTCTGAGCCAATTTAAAGCAGCACGTTAGCTACACTAGAAATGTCCTGCTCTCCTGGAATTCTCTGTCCTGGCGGTAATTTCCAAGCACGAGAGGCAGCACAGCAGGACGTAAGAGCAGAGGCTTTGTCATCCTCCTCTGTGTGATCTTTGGCGGCTTCGTCAGCCCCTCAGCGTCTCCTCCTCCATCTGGGAAATGGGGATAAGAGTGACCCCAGCACTGCAGACGCTGGCCCGTCGACACCCCAAACAGCTTCCTGGGAAAGGCGATGGGGATCGCAGACCCCAGCAGGGCCTCGGGGTGGGGGGGGTGCCCGTGGCGGCTGTGTGACGATCCGCAGGAGGCTGGTTCTGTGGTGACTTGGGGGACACGTGCTCATCCTAACGGACCAGTTTCAGGTGTTTTAAGATATACTCCGAGATATGGCCAAACGTGGGACGCCTGCCCCAATTCGGCCTGCGACCTGCCCGTCTTAGACCTAGAGGAAGATGGGCCTGAGGCTCCAAGAGTTTTGAAAGGGATAGATCATGATGGCAGCTGGTGCAGGGCCCCGCACACAGGGGACCCGGTTCCCACACTGTCGCTCTCCCCCGTGCCAGCGGCGACACGGAGGGCCCGGGAGACGCCACGTGGGCTGGGGGCGGCGAGACGCCCCTGCGGCTCTCCCCAGTTGGGACGTCAGCAGGGCCTGGTGTCTCTGAAGCGTTTGGACTTTCTGGTTCCTACCGGACACAGTCCTATTCAACGTTAACAAAAACGCTTTTCCCAGTTAAATAGTTTAAGACTAATAATCACCATTCTGAATTTGTCACACCACACCTCTTTATTAAGCCCGAAGAATGAAAAATGAGTCTTGTGAATAGAGATTGAGATTTTGGAAAGTTTTTAATATAAAGTTCTGTTTGAGAAATGTAAATCTTTTAATTTTTACTGGCACCTTAGACTTTTTAGTCTCCTAATTAGATTCATACCAGTGACTAAAAAAAAGACGTAGGAGTGCTTTCTTCCTTGACAGCCTTGATTGACAGAACAGTCCCCGAAGTCTCATAATTGAGCAAACAGCTTGTCACCATACGAGTCATTAAAATACCATTTGAAAAGTGTACACTATGACAAGTGCTAACTTACATGTTGTTCACAGCTATAGACTTTCAGGCGAGATGAATCCTTTTGTTTTGTTTGTGGCTTCCTGCCACGCGGTAAAGTGAGCAGCATTTAAGGAGCCTGCGTCCCAGGAGTCGGGGGTGGGGCCTCAGGCGCGAGGGCGGTGAGCGCGGGTCGGGGTCGGCGGGCCCACCAGTGACCATGTGCTCGCCCGCAGCCAGGGCGACCCGCAGCCAACTGTGCGGCTCCCACGTTCGCTCTCGTATGTGTTTCCCTTTCTGTGTTCCCTCAAACACGGCATCCTGCGCAGATTCTGGTTTTTTTTAAAGCAGCAGATGGAAATACCAGCCATTCTGCCGTGCTTCCGCACCCGGCCAGTGGAGAGGCACACGTCAATCTGTTGTCACCGAGAGCTCTAGTTCACATTTGGATCTCGTTTTACCCCAAACTGTTTGGCTGGAATGTAAACATTTTCCGATTCCTCGAGGGGCCCTGTCACCGCGTGCCCTTCGGTTCCCACCTGGTCGCTCGGCGGGCGCTTGGCCCCGGGACCGAGTCCCCCCGTCTGGCTGGAAGCCTCTGGGTTGCTGGTTCGGGAGGACCGGCACTGGTCATGGGACTCGCGGGGGCCAGCCCTGGGGAGGGCTCCAGTCGGACTGTGTCCTCTCACAGATGAGCCACTGAGGCCCGGGGAGGAATTTTCTCGTGTGAGAGCTTCGCTGGGACTCGCGTCTCCCTGCCCGTTGTCCGCCTGCACGTTGAGATTTTTGGTGATTGGGAAGCAGCCTGTTGCTCTGCATTTAAAGATAAGGAAAATCGGGGCTGAAAGAAAAGAGGTGATTTGTGCAAAGCAGCACAGCCTGAAGCTCCACGGGGCTCCGCCCCCTGACTGCCGTGCCGTCTCCACTCTGTAAAGTTGGTGACAGTGTCACGGGTGTGGATTCATCCACATGTGGCCCAGCCCCGCCTGGGGCTCTAAGCCAACCAGGACTCTGACCTACGGCTCGTCCACCAGGGCCGGGTCTGCGACTCCGGCCCAGGTGGTCCTGTGCGGCCCCCGGGCCCCTGGTCCAGGTGCTCCTGTGGCGACCTGGGCTTTCGTGCCGCAGCCTGGTCCTGCCGTGTTCTCACCGTGTGGACAGAAAGCCCGGGAAAGTAGGGCCCAGTTATGTGGACAACACCCAGCACAGCGTGAGTTAGTGCTGCTTCAGTAGGCTCCGGTCCACCAGCCCGCAGCCCGCAGCCGCCCCTCCTGGGACTGGGGGAGCAGGCGCTTGGGGGCGGGGCAGCCCATTCTACACACGGGAAGAGGTGGTAGAAATAACACAGACACAGGGGTGCTGCATCTCGGTGTCCCCTAGTTCATCTCCCCTAGTTCGGGGCAGTACCGGATTGTAGAAACCGCTTCTGGACTGAACACACGGAGTGAGCAATGAGTTGATGGGGGTAGCTGGTCATTGTGCGGTAGAAGCGGGGCAGGGGGCGGGGGGCAGGGACGGCGGCACTGGGAGGTGAGGGCTTGTGGAGGGAACAGGAAGACGGCGCCCCTGTCTGAGTCCTGCGTGCAGGGGTGTGTGGAGGAAGCCTCGCGGGCAGGTGCATGCAGGGGTGTGTGGAGGAAGCCTCGCGGGCAGGCATGTGCCTGAGGAGGCGGGCTGTGCCCACTTGGGGGGCCACCCAGCCTTTTCCATTTGGCCTAACAAACATTTGTTAAGTACTTGAAAATATTTTTAAAAAATAATGGTCCTGGGAAGCAGAGCTAGTGCTGTTGGGCTGGGGATTAAAACCCACAGCAGGATTTTAATCTCGAGAGCAGCTAATTACTGAGATGCTTTATACAAACTATTTGAAGAAAATGAGCCTACTTCCCACCTGCACGTCCCAGCCTGCCACCAAACGGGACAGTCAGCAGAGCCCAGAGCGTCTGCGGATTGTGTACAGGCAGCTCGGGCGGCCCCTGATCAGGGATCCCAGCGGAGGCCTGGGTTTGGAGAGGTACATATAGGGAGCTGATCAGCGCAGGCAGCTCGGGTGGCCCCTGATCGGGGATCCCAGCAGAGGCCTGGCGAGTCTCTCTGGTCACGGTGCGTTGGTGAGTCCTAGAGCACCCTGGTTATTTGGAATTGTGGGTTTGGAGAGGTACATATAGGGAGCTGATCAGCTGGACGTATAGAGATTTGGAGTCCTTGTGCTTGGTCCTCGGAGTTTGTGACATCCTTCCAGGCAAGGGGGGTCTCTAACCCTGCTCGTCAGGAAGACGAGCCTCTCGGTTTAGGGTAGAGTGACGACAGCCGGTGAACAGAGCCGGGAGTGGGGAGAGGCCACCCCGCCGAACAACGCAAGGGCCGTGTGAATGGGGCCGTGGTGGCCTGTGCTGAATGGCCACCCAAGAGACAGCTCGGGAGACACCCGAGTGACCGTGATTCCGGCCTAATGCATTTCTCGTGGCCACCCAGACGCATTGCCTAATTGATGATGACGCCCCGTGTGTTCCAGAATAAAGCACGAATCATCCTCCAGTGATGACGAGCACGCAGCTGCCAAGCCGTCGAGTGTCAGCCACCTCCCGCTGCTGTCCAGCGTCGGCTACAAGAAGACGCTCCGGCTCACGTCGGAGCAGCTGGTGAGTGGCCTCCCCTTGCTCGTCTGTGGGCTCTGGCCGTGACGCAGCCCCCCGGACTCGGGCGGGCGGTGGTCTGGGCACCCCTCCTGCTCTCTGGCTCCCACTTGGGCACCCCAGAGTGCTGGCCACCCTCTGGCCACCCTGCCTCCGCCCTGGTACCCCGCGTTTCCACCTTGACGTCAGCACCTGGCCAGGCGTGGTCCGCGGCATCGCCACCTACCCCCCCAGCCCCCCGACTTCTGCCGCGGCCCTGGGATCCGGTTCTCAGGTGTCCGAGGAGGGCAACCTGACGGCTCTGATGAGTCCCGACGTGTAAATGCCTGGTCGACCAGAATCTCGCAGGGCTGCTTCCACTTTCAGGGAGATGTTCGTTAACTCAGATGCGTCTCCTGACCTGGGGGGCACCAGTGCTCATGGTGGGACGGAGAGAATGTGGGGGACGCGGCCCTCCATTCCCCGGACCGCTGCCTGTGAGCGGCTGTGAGCACGGGTCCCAGGCTCAGCCGGGATGCTGTGCGATGCCGAGAGATGACGGACGGGCCCAGGCACCCGTGCGATGCCATGAGCGCCACCCTGCGGCCTGGCCGAGGCGGTGCGGCTGTGTGGCTCCACCCAGCGACACCGGGGGCACCTGGCGTCACTTCCCTGGGTCCAGACGACACACCTGTGGACGTGGGGTGCGCCTGGTGCCTGAGACTGCGCACTCCCGCTTTGTGTCAGTCTGAAAGCCACTGAAACTCGGTTCCTCAGGGAACGTGTTGTTACGTTCGTCTCCCCGGGTGTCGCCCCTCGTAGTCGGGGGTGGGAGAGTGAGTGTGTCCCGTTCTGAAACCGAGATTGATTTTGCCGCATCTGGGAGCCTGTCACTTAACCCTCTGATGACGCCCATCCAGAAATGAAGGGGCCCCTTAGCGTCACCTCAGGGAGCAGGAGGCTGGTGCGGGAGGTGCGAGCTGCATCACCGGTGCAGGGCGCAGGGTGCAGGGTGCCCAGGCCTCGGCGAGAACCCTCCTCATCCAGAGCGCGATGGGGACAAGGCACTGCACTGTGGCCTAGGGCGGCGATTACAAAAAAAAAAAAATAAAACGTTGTCATTTTAATAAAAAAAAAAAAAAAAAAAAAAAATCCTCATCCCGCTTCTGACAGCGTGGAGAAGCCGGTGAACTCCCCCGTCCGGACCGTCCCCCCGAGGACACGTAGCTGGTGTTTTTCAGAAAAGCTTGAAGCTGAAGAATGGCCCCAATGACGTGGTTTTCAGCGTCACCACGCAGTACCAAGGCACGTGTCGCTGCGAAGGCACCATCTATTTGTGGAACTGGGACGATAAAGTCATCATTTCTGACATCGACGGGACGATCACTAGGTAGGTCCGGCCGGCCCGGGCCGCGGGGGCATCCTGACCTCTGTTGTGGGGCTCCACGCCTGGGGCCAGCACTCAGTGGCTTTCTGTGGCACGGGGGGCTCGTGCCGCACAGGTGCTGGGCAGAGGAGCCGCCCACCGGGCCCTCAGCCCTTGGACCCAGCAGCTGGCGTTGGGGATCGCCGGGCGTTGCCGCCTGGGGTGTCGGCTCCCCAGGCTCGTGCGCACGTGTTCTGAGCGGCCTCCTCACTTCGATCTAGCGAGTCAAGGACTCGCTACGTGAGCAGATGGCAGGCGCCCGCTCGTGGATTAGAGCGTCCCTCCGCGAGCCTTCCCTTTTGCTTGCTTTAGTTTTGGGCTTGCCATCCAGACGGTGAGTCGTGGGTCCTGTCGGCATTTTTTTGGAGGCATTTGCGATGCGCCGAACTGGAAGGGACATCGTGCTCCTCGTTGCGGTGCCCTTTCCACGGCGCTTGTCTCGTTTCCGTCCTTTTCAGGTCGGATACTCTCGGCCACATTCTGCCCACCCTTGGGAAGGACTGGACCCACCAGGGCATCGCTAAGCTGTACCATAAAGTGAGCCAGTAAGTACAGGTGCCGGCCCGGCCCGCGGCGCTCCGCACGTGGGGTCTTGGCCGCCGGCGTGGCTCAGTGGCGGGCCGCACCTCAACCAGGGCTGGTGGCAGGGGGGGCCGTGGGGAATCCTGAGCACAGGGTGAATCCCACCAACTGCAAATGCAAATTCAGTACTGGGAGACAAGAAAGGAAGTGATAAATGAATCAAAAATCGATGGAGAGAGAAGGAGGCGGCACCGTTAGGGGAGGGACGGGGTTTAGTTCCTACCAAGGAAAGGCAGAGATGATCGGGTGGAGAAATCATAGTCTACTATGCGCCAAGCGATTTACTTTAGGCTAAAAGGGCACAGATTCCGGGTGGGTTGTAGCTGCGGCACCGGCCCAGGGGGGTGGGGTGGGGGTGAGGGGCAACCGGCACATCCGCCCACCTGGTCTGGGGAGCGCCTCGCTGAGTGGCCAGCAGGCAGGACAGCCTGGTGGTGGAGGTGGGAGGGTAGGGGCAGAGCCGCGGTCCTCTGTCGGGCACGGGTGTTACTCCGCTTGGATCCGACAGTAATCCTGAAAAGCGAGTGAAGTTTCTGTGTCTAGACGAGTGAACTAAACTCAAAGTTGAAGTGATTTGTGCAAATCCCCGAAGCCACTAATGGGCAGAACGCATGGATACCCTGGTCGGTCCAGCTGCGGGTCCACTGCTTCTGCTCTCGTCCGTCCGGGGTCCAGAGTCCATCGTCCCCTCCCCCCACACCAGCTTGCGCTTAGTCACACTTTCTCCACTCTTCTGTGGACCAGTTTCCCACGTCGGTGAAACCCGCAACACCTTCTGTTCTCCAGCCAGTTAGAGCCGGGAGGTGCCGGCCCCGTCTTTGTGTGGGGACGAAGGCGAGGAGTTACGCAGTTGGTGAATGTCAGGACAGAAACCCAGGCCCGTGACGCCCAGCCTGACGTGCTCACCTCTGGCCTGTGCTGGTGGTGACAAGGAGTAGGTGAGGGACGCTCACTGCTTTTTCTGTACTGTGGTATTTCCGGCACAGGTGGGTGAGGTGCGCTTTCCTGCTCCTCATTCATTTATTTATCCAGCATTTACTGGGAGCCCACTGAGTGCTCGGCCCTCTGACCGGTGTGCGGCTTGACCGTGAACTAGTCTCCCGCTTCCTGGACTTTATCCTTCAGTGGGAGTGGGGTGGCTGGGAGGAGGACCTTATATCCTGATGGGACTAAAAGCTTCTGATTTCTTAGGTGCCCACATCATTAGTTCGACCTTGCTTTTCTAGATTTCATCTTTAAAAGAGTACCAAAGCAATAAATGCTTCTTTTACGAAAACAATAAGAGAAATAAGAAAAATTAGAGGAATTTAACAGTGCAGAGCTTGTGTCTTCCTCCCGGCTCTAACGCCAGGCTGATCCACTCCCGACGAGTGGCACCGCTGTGAACAGTCTGGGTCTGTCTGGCCGCACTGAAAATTCACTGACACACGCCCCTTGTCCCCGACACACCCACGCTCACGTCATTAAATGACGTGTCCTTACGTTTCATTAAGATGTCAGGTTTACCTCCTTCCTCTTGACTGCTGCACAAAATCCTGGGATGCGGATAAACCATCCTGTATTTAACCGGTCCTCTGCTGACGAACGTGGCAGGCAGTTTCACGATTTCCAACAATGATGTAATAAGGGTTTACATACACTACGCAGTTCATTATGCGTCATGCACATATGAATGCATTAGGAAGGCACACGCATGTAGGAAAGGCTGCTGTCAGGTAGAGTCCCCGAGGTGGAATGACCGGCCACAGGGTGAGCACGCTTAAAGGAGGGTCAGCGTGGCTGAGTGCCCTCCTCGCCGTCCCCCAGCCTGCACCCTCACAGACGTGTGTGTGCCCACCCCGCCCCACGGCCTCTCCACGCCTGGCCTTTTGTTTAGAAGGCTTGATCCCACTGATGTTTTCAGTGCCTTGCACGATGCTGAAAATTGCATCCATTTTTGGTCGAAAGAAACACTCTTGGGTTAGGTTACTGAGTAGTTCACAGCTTGATTCATTTTCATTTTTTTGGAACATAAATCTGTTCCTGTTTTTACTGTAACATTAAAAAAAAAAAGGCACAGTTGCATTTTTTTTTTTTTGGTCTTGATTTGTATCTCTTTTGGATTTTCCCAGAGAAGATATCTTCTCGAAAAATAAAGTTGTGCAGCTTCCCAAAGAACACCCGATCCTTCTGTTCTTTGATCAATCGATTTAGAATGAGGAACATCTGCGGGCGAGGACCTGCGAACAGCCCAGAAGACTTCCTGCATGTTTGTTTTGGTTGAGAGGAAGGAGCTAGATGTTTATTTGGTCGTTGAGTTTGATGTGTGTCCTTAGAGGCACCCAGCCAGTTAGACCAGTGACGATCAGGGCTTCCGGACTGGCTCCAGGCGGCAATGTGAGCCTCGTGGTGTGGCTTTGGACATCTAACAGTTTCGGGGTCCTGCCCTCCGCTAGGTCCTTGTTTTCTGCAGCTTCCCTGCCCCTCCTGCTCTAAGCCCGACTCCGTGCCTTGTCGTCTCATCTCCCCGCCTTTGCTCATGCGAGGGCCTCTGCTTGGTGGGCCTTTTCCTCTGATTGCTGCCTCTCAACAGTTTTGTCCGCCGGTCATGTCCAGCTGAGATGCCGCAGTCCTCGCGAGGCCTTTCCGGTCCAAGATCGGTGACCCCAGGCAGCTCTCATCTTCTCTTCTGGGATTGCTGAGCTCTTTTCTGGCATCTGAGAGTTTGGCCTGGCTTGGTGGCCTCGGTCCCATCACGGAGTCCGAGTCCAGGCTGGACGCGCTGGAGGGCTTCTGCAGCTGGCTGCTGGTTGGCAGTGTCTCCTGACATCAACTCCAAGGTCTTAGGCGGCCGCAGCTGGGGGAAGTGCCGGGACTAAGAACTGCGAAAGGTTGTGACTCCCTCTTCTGATGAGGCCAGGTCATTTCTTTGAGTGTCATACTTGTGCGTACCCAGAGACATATTTAGAGACATGGTTAGCATACTAAGGTACCAGGAAGAAGGCGCCATTTAATTTAGGATTTGGGGACTGATCACTCTTTTCCTGACACTGGCTTTCCTGGGATTCGGGTTCCTTTTAGATTTTATGCACTGCAGGATTTGGCTAATGGAAAAGGCAGCCTTGCAGATGGCCACTTGCCTGGAAATAACAGAAAATGAGGGCAATTTAATTTATTTTTTGCCGAATGTAATTACTTGTTTGAATATGGTCAGCCCGTGACAGATTATCTGTCAGGCTGATTATTACCTTGTTTGTAGAGAAAGTATAAAGCTTGCTTGGTTATTGATTTTAAAAAGCTTACATGGTTATCGATTAAAGAGAACTATAGCAGGTAAAAATGGAAGAAATATGAGACTCTTTCATACTCAGATATATCCAATAAATAGAGGGAAAGTAAAGAAAGACGTTTCCTAAAACATCTAGATCATCGAACCAGTGGGTCGTTTGGGGGCTCAAGTTGGACAATAATTACCCTGATTTTCTGCCTTACTTGAGATGTATCTTGACGTCCGTGTAACCGGAAGCCGGCGTGTCCGAGGCTTGGCGAATGTGCAGTGTGGCTCCGTGGATGGATGTGCTTCCCTGCGGACTTAGCAGTGATCATTAGCAGACTCATTAGGGTTCTTTCCTTCTCCCGCCCACAGCACTCGCTCCTTCCCTCACCCAGGTCCTCGCAGGTGGCTACGGTCATTACTCTCAGGAGGGAGGACCGTGTGGTGCGTAGGGCAGAGTGAGGGCGCCTGGATCCCGGGGGCGACGGCTGTTGGCTCTCCACGGACACTCGGGCCTTGTTCTCCACTCCGAGCCGTGGGTTCCTTGTCTCTCAGATGAGGACGTTAGGCTCATTCCATCCGTCACGGCTAGCCCCAAGTGCTCTGCTGCCGGGTCGTGTGGCTGTAGTCACAAGTGCGTGTGTGTGGATAGCTGCGTGTTGCCTTTCCCAGCCGAGCCTGGGTCAGAACCCCGAGGACTCAGACCTGCTGAGCAGCGGGAGCTGTTCCAGGTGCTGAGCGCCTCTCGCTCCAGGGTGCCCATGATCACGCAGGGGCTGGTGGCAGCAAGGCCCTGGCGGGGAGGGCAATGAGCACTGTGGATTTCATAGTGAAGGAGAAATTAATTCTGATCCGAGGGGCGAAGACTCAGAGATGTTTCAGTGAAAAGGTGCACCTGAGCCGAGCCTTAACCAGTGAGTAGGGCTTCGAAAGAGAATTCTAAGCTCATCACAGGTGGAAGCGGGGATGGGGGGCGCTGAGACCTGAGCGAGCGCCAGCTGGGGTCACGGGAAGGGAGGCTCCGGGCAGGTGAACCGGGAGGTCAGCTGGCAGAGCCTTCACGCCGGGCTGAGGACAAGCCTGAGTCCAGCACACACTTGAGGTGCAGGTGAGGACGCTTCCTAGGACTGCGGCTGGGGCTATGGGGGTCCCTGGTCTCTGCAGCAGTGGCTCTCAACTGGGTGCCAGTTTGCCCCCCATGGGACACATAGCAATGTCTGGGGACATTTTTGATCGTCATGGCTGGGGCGTGCGTGCTATTGGCACCTCGTGAGTGGAGGCCAGGGATGCTGCTAAATATCCTCCAGCAGGGGTCCCCAACCCCCAGACTGTGGACCGGTACCGTCGGTGGCCTGTTAGGATCCGGGCCACACAGCAGGAGGTGAGCGGTGGGCGAGTGAGCGAAGCTTCATCTGTGTCTGCAGCCGCTCCCCAGCGCCAGCATCACCGCCTCAGCTCCGCCTCAGACCATCAGGCGTTACATTCTCATAAGAGCACTGGTCCCTGGTGCCAAAAAGGTTGGGGACCGCTGTCCTACAGCGTGGCAGTGACATCCCTCCCCATCCCCCCCAGCAGTTACATATCCAGCTTTCCAAATGTCGGTAGTTGAGAAACTCCAACCTAGAAGCTTATTTTGGAAAATACTCCTAAAGGTAGTCTTTTCAAGCTGTTTTGGTGTCTCTCTGGGCCGAGTGTTTTGAGGGAGATGTAGAGACGGGGCAGGGAAAGCGTCTGTCCCAGGCCTGGCCGTGGAAGGCTCTTCCTTTGAGCTGTTCTCCCAGAGCCCCGCTGCAGCTGCTGACACGTGGGAGGGCTCAGTGCCATCCTCGTGGGTGCTGCGCCTCCATCTGCCGGCGTCTGTCCAGGCAGGGCGCACCCGTCCCGCCCCGGGACCCCTCGTGTCCACCTCTGCTCTGTCACATATTCCGTTCCCTTCGTCATCACTGATTGCCCCTGGGCACTTTCCGTCCTCCGTAGGACCATCTGTGCTGACCCCACGTGCACCCCTGGCCCAGCCTGGGGCCTGGGGTGGGGGCAGCTGGCGGGTGTGCATCGGTGGAAGGAGTGTGGCCTGCACATGGCCGCCCTTCTGAGCAAGGGGCACCATGGGGGGTCAGCTTTGGGGATGTGGCGCAACCTGAGCACTCGATGGGAGCACTTGGCATTTCCGGCAGCTTTCATGGGGGCGAAAACTCTGGAAAGGGAACCCCTGCGGCCACCAGCAGGCATATCCCCGCGCAGGACGTCCTGGAGCGGATTTTCCAGCTGCGTTCAGTGATGGCCTCAGACGCAGAACAGTCGCATAGCGAGAACAACGTGTGGCATGATCAACCCGGGAAATGTATTAGAAAAGCAAGTTTTGAATAAAATTAGCATCTCAGACCCCTGCAGGTGACAGCTTTTAGGCTTGATGTGAAGAGCTATATACAGAAACAGCGATTTAAAAAAAAAAGATTGCAGTAATTAGACGGCTAAAATACAAAGATGTTTAATTAAAAAGACTGCTTGATTTTCAGATGCGTCCCTGTGTTCCAGACAAGCTGATATTTCTAGATTCTCTTTGTCTCAGAACTTTCTTCTTTCTTGTTTCGAAGACCATGTTATTAAGCCACTCGAGACCAGTCCTCCGGCCAGCGTGAAGATAGTCCTGGGGAGGCGAGGAGTCGGGTGGGAAGTGGGCAGTTTGTCCTCGCTCACCCAGCCGAGTTCCTGCGTGTCTCCTACCTGCCGCACAGCGCTGGGGCCCAGGGGTTAAAGCCAGGACCGAGACACCAGCCCCAACCTTGCGGGGTGTGAGGGTCAGTGAGAGACACAGTCAAACAAGGGACCAAGTGTGGTATCGGTGATGAGTGCCACGAAGAAGCCCAAATGCAGTCGGGGATTCGTACCTGGAGTGGGGGTGCTTCTTATTGAATAGAGGGACATCGGGGAGAGGGCCCCTCTAAGCAGACACCTAGGTGAGGTGAGGAGTAAGGGGGCCCTGGAAATATGGGGGGACAGTTGTCCAGGTAGCATTTATGAGCATGCGAGTCAGGGAGTGGTAAGAACACCTGGTAGGGACCAGATACCAGGGAGCACGGGCTGGTCCCTGTTCCTTGCGTTTAATAAGCAGGGACCAGGTCTTACTGGCCTATTAGGTAATGGCAAAGGATTTGGATTATATCTCAGAGAGAGGGCAAGACTTTGCAGGGTTTTGAGCATGATCGGAATACATTTTAAGCTTTAAGTTTTTTTTTCTGCGTGGAGGCTTGGTGAGGGGGCA